AATAACCAAGGTCGTTTTCCTAGGGTAGGGGAATCCAAAATGAGAGGGCATAGGTTTAAGGTGAGAGGGGAAAGATTTAAAAGGGACCCAAGTGGCAACTTTTTCACATAGAGGGTGGTGCGTGTATGGAATGAGCTACCAGAGGAAGTGGTGGAGGCTCGTACAATTACAATATTTAAAAGGCACCTAGCTGGGTACATGAATAGGAAGGGATAATAGGGATATGGGCCAAATGCTGGCAAATGGTACTAGATTAATTTAGACTATCTGGTTGGTATGGACAAGTTGAACTGAAAGGTCTATTTCTGTGCTGTACAACACTATGACTCTATAACTGTACTAACTTGATCAGAAAACCTCTCCATCTTCTCCAGTAGTATCAGCCAAGCAACCCATGTTCATGTCCTTTAATGCATGTCCTTCTCTCATTCCAGGAGGAAAATAGCACATAACAGGTAGAAATGGTTAAGATGGGCGGTGTAATACTCAACATTCGGATTCTCACTCTTATAAAGAGTGGATCCTGACTCTCACAGTCGTGAACAGCTGACTGACTTTGTCCATATTCCTCGACTGGATGTGGGGCATGTGGATACAGGAGTACTGTAAGTCTGGTGTCATCAGCTGAAGGGCAAAGTGCAAAAAGACAAAATAAGACAGGTTTGCTGTGAGCATCATGGAGCATCACAGTGACAGCTGAAAGAGTAAGTGAACAGTCCAGAGATGCAGCCTGGTCAAGTCTATGAGGTGAGTGTATGTCTGAGTGCCCAATGTCCTGGCTGTATTATTATAGTGATGATTGTCAGTGCAGTCCTAGATGCAGCATTAAATTGCAGAAGCAACCTACAAGTGGATCGGTGGTTTACCAAGAGGGCTCTTAGATGCTGGCACACATCAGTTGCCAATGTTTGTGGACTGGATAAATCTGGATGGTTATATGTAGCCAGTACCTATGGAGCATGTCTTGAAATGTTGGTGCCAGGTATCCAACGTGGAGGCTCTTTAGAGCAAGCGGCAAACTGAAGTTGCCTCTCTCAGTGTCCAATTTGCCCATTGCAGGTGGTACAATAGAAAACCTGCATATCAATGAGACAAGATCTGCAATCAGTATGGTCATTAATAATCTCCTAGTAATAGGTAGCACTCCACTGTCTAGAGAGAATCTCAGCCCGGAACTTAGTTAAAAAAATCCAGTGAAGTTCCCAACATTGATGTAGGCCTTGATCACTTCTCATGTGATTCTGCCACGTTTCCTGCCATAGCTCATGTCTGTCATTCAGGCCATGTAAAATTCTGCCCATTTAGTTTAAACATTATGCAATCTCAAGTAATGGTCTGAATTTTCCTAAGATTAGGCAATGTCAGTACTGGGGAGTATCATGGAGGATCTCCCACAGTGAGCCCTGATGAATTCCCTCATACAATTCTCCACTGTTCACCTCGTTAATTCTTGCATCCAGCCTTCACAAGGCCAGTCTTGTAGAATTTTACACTCAGCAGTGTTGTAAGTGTTGCTAGTGCTGGCACCTTAAAACATTCATGTGATGGCCACTATATTTAAACCCCAGTTGTGTACCACTTCAAACACTACCAGTCTGATCTGAAGTAGTACCTGGTTTGGGACAGCATCCACAACCCACAGCCATGGTGCAGAAGGTTAACGACCTTCTGCACTCCCCAAGGGTAAGAGCCACTAACTTCTGCTCTGACCTCAAACTCTAAGTCTGCCAATAAGATCTGCTATTTTGCAGACATTGCAAAAATAGGTGGAAAGGCAAGTTGCAAAAGAGAGAGACAAACAGTTTACAGAAAGTTGGCAAATGGTGTGTAGTGTGGGAAAATGGAAAGTTGTTAATTTTGGAAGGAAGAACAAAGTAATATTCAATGGAGAAAAGCTGCAGAAAGCTACAACCCAGAGGGACTTGAGGGTACTTGTGCACTACACGCAGAAAGCTAGCGCACAGTTGCAGCACATAATCAGGAAACCTAATGGAATGTTGTCCCTTATTTCAAGGGGATTGGAGGATAAGAGTAGGTAAGTCTTATTGCAACAAGGTGTTGGTGAGACCACGTCTGCAGTACTGTGAGAGGTTTTGGTCTCCATACTTAAGAAAGGGTATTTTCCCAACACTCTTGCCATTTTCCAAATTGTGCAGAGGCTGGGAAAATTCCACCCATTGAGTGTCTGAATAAACTTGCAAAATATCTGATATGCTTCTGTTTCAAATATCCTACATAAAAGAGAGAGCCTGTAGCACAAAATAATAATTTTCTGAGGCTCTGATCTGAAGTGTGGTCAATAAGAATACACACTAGAAATCTGGGTAAGGAGGTTAGCACTAAATTATTGATGTTTCGTCATTTTCCAAACTAGTAAATCAGCACCACTGGGAATCATGTTCATTGAACTTGCTGCCTGATTCTGTAATCTGCATTCTAATCAAACCAGAACCTACAACAAGTGTGGAGACTTGAAAAACTTATTCTTTGAAAATTAAGTTTATGTTCAGTTTTTAATCAGTGGAATTCTTGACCCTATTATTCAGACATCCACAGATCCATGAAACTTTTTAATTTGTATTATATGATGGGGTTAAAAAATAATGAAATCAAAAAAACACAAAAATGCGATTGTAGCCTTGAAACGTGATGACTGTCTCCTCTTAGTCTTTTGTGCTGTACCATTGTTCTTTCATTTCATATTGCCACAGAAATCTAGGCATATTCCAAAATTATAAAATATCATTCTCGACACTGATGTTTCCAAGTTAGGTTTGAAATGGTGAAAACGAGCATTTAACTTCCAACCGTAGACTAACTCAGCAGGTGTGAAATTGGGATTGGGGATGAGATTTAGTATATTAATTAAAAGGATCAGTTCATTCTTGATGCACGCAGAATCCTGCATCACCCTCTTTAGAGACATTTTGAATGTAATGCCCTTTCAGTTTTCTTTATTGTCTAATATTGTACAGGTAGAGAAGTATATGACATACACTATTATTTCAAAAACTAAAAACAATCGTAAGCAGCTGTGATTTGCATTGAACTGCTTTCAGCATTTAAAATGACAATTTAAAGTTGGGAAAATTGCCATATTTTCAGCCAGTCAAAACAAAGATGAATATACTACCATGGTTTTGTAGTAGTTTCCTCAGGCATTACAGATAAATTCATCAGGCAAATTTGATACTTATGAACAGCGTTGTCTGTTGCTATCTAAAGAAGAAAACCACATGTGCGTTCTAACCGATTCTTCCACCCTTATTTTGGAAGGATGGTTGTCATATCTTTCCTGGATCATACTGCCTTTGCATTTAGTTGGAATAATAACACCTTGTCCATAAAACAAACATCCACTTTTGATCTAAAATTCATCTTTCTGCCTTATGCAGGTAGATCTGGTGGCAAATGTGGTCATCAGGCCAACAGTACACCATGTATTACATAACAGAGGATAGTGCAGGGCCATGTCTTGTTGAATTACTTCTGCCAATAGTTCTGGCAGGAAGTGAGCCCAGCTTCTCAGTAAAGAATTTCTTGATAATGAAATCAACACTGGAACCTAATATTAGAAACATAATTTAAAAACCTATGTTGGTAATCAATTTAGATGGTTATGCTTGATGCCAAACTGATAAGCTGACAAATCAACAGCGCATCTTTGAATATTCAGCAAATTTAAAGCAATGTTCAGAAAACATGAAGCTTAGAAGCTTTTGATCAGTATTTAGAACAAAAGGACATTTGTATAGGCATATGTTAGGTTACTTCATTCTAAATATAACTTCACATACTAATTGTATATAACCGAGCTTGGTGGAAATCAGAGAACAGGAAACAAATGATATTGGTCATTCAAAGTCATCAAGATATCACAGTGAGATGTTATTGTTCTCAAGTACTTTTGAGACAGTTCAACTGATAAAATCAGCAAAAATAAGGCTCGTAATCTTCCAATAATATTGTACTTCCTATTAAAGTTTTCAGCCATTCTGAACTTGTGTATACTTTGAAAACTTGAAGAAATATATCATACGGGTTCTTAGTCATTATAAGTCATGCGAATCCAAGATAGTAAGCAAAACTACTCCCCTTTTGCTGACAATTTCAAATTTATTTGCATCAGAGTAAAAATTGAGCATCCTTATATATTCAGTTGAGTAAAACAAACTGGGTAATCATATTTTTCCAACATTGATAAAAACATAACATGTTACAGTTATTTAATTAATCAAATGTCCAATATTCTTCTTTTCAATAATGCACTGTCAATTATCCTTCTTGTCATCATTATGCTCAGAAGTAGACAGGTGTTTATCACTACTCACCTTTACAGGAGGTCCAAAAGTGGGGCCATGAGCTGAAATTCTGGGGTTGGAGGCTCCGAAGGAGTAATGGCTGCTGCAGACCTCAGATTGAGTTATTGTAGCCATTCTTCTGCTTTAAGCAGCTCCTGTTCACACATCTATTTCCTCCCCATGCACCCCTCCACTCTTTCTGTTGCTCCATTGCCCTTGGTCTCAATGTTTTCACTGAAGGGTCTCAATAATCTTCAAACCTCAAAATAGTGTCACAGTGGGGAAGTGTTTGGGAAGCATTTGTGTAGAACATTCTGTCAAAATTCATAAAGAATATAAGAAAGATGTAATTGTCTACTCTCATCATGCGATGTTTAGTTAACAGTAGGCAAGTGCTATCAAGCTTAATTGTTACATTGTCAAATTATAATTTACAGTTCAAGTCCAGTAGTATGCACATGGATAATTTGAAACCCAATCTAGAAGACAATCACTTAACAATGGAGAAAGTATACATCTTACAAAGTTGTTTTTATCTAATTAAGTTGAACAAATATAAATGTTCCTACTAAAGGCTGGAGTCAAACTTATATTAAGTTATTCAAAGTGGCCTTTATACAAACAACAATAACCACATATCGAAAAATCTTCCACGACTGCAGGATTGCTTAATCATATCTAATATCCTCCTTCATTCAGGTTGAATTTAGAATTATTCACAGTGAAAGATGTCATGGAACGCCAAGTAAAGGTCCTCCATCTGAGGGAAAAGGTCTCTTCCCTGGCTACACTTCTCTTGGAGACAAAACATTGTGGATTCCCTGTGATTTATCACATGGAACAAGCCCATGAGGAAGTCTTCATAGGAAGCATCACCAGGTGAGTAATTTGAGTGCGTGAATCCCAGCACTTTTGTTCACTTAGTGATATGGATGAAAGTTAATGAATTGTACAAACCTGATGGTTTGCATGTTTGAGCAATAAGAAATCACTGAGTAACTAGTGGTAGTATCCATTATGTCAAGAGTGTTGAACAGACAGTTTTAATATGGTGAATGACAAAATCTAAATTCAAACCACGTTGGTTGGAAACAAAAACTAAATTTAATTAATAATTATCCAAAGGAACTTTTGATTATAGTAATACTTGTGATGTTAAGAGACAAAGTTATAATAAATAAGACATGAAATGAAATTAATTCACAAGAAAAAGTCACACTCAATGGCTTTGTCCAGTTGAAATTCATTGCTTAAAAAAAATTGCAGAACTCTGTAGCTTTAACTGCTAAATTAAATGAGCCAGTACCTTCTGAGTTCTCACTAATATGTATAAAGAGCTGGTCAATTTTCCCTCAGCATTTTGCATTAAAAGAATTTCCGTGGGCATAAGGAGAAATGGAAATCATTTTCTGCTCATGCTGAACTAAGAAAGTGCATTGCTATTGGCCAATCCATTCAATGTTATTTGTTTGAAAATGTCAAAATATATTACTGGACTTGCTACATTGCCAGTTGGACAAGAATGGTCTAAGAGAATCCAACAAAGAAAGTAAAAACAGAAAAAAAAATTAAGATGCATTACATGTCATTGGTCTTAAAAGCTGCCAGCTGTGTTTGAAACCTAAATCCATTTTAATTTATGCAGTTATGTTGTCATACTTGATGTGCTGTTGATATTAGAATAGGTTAAGTTAACAGTAGATAATCATTAGTCATTTGGCCTGACTGTCAATCTGAAAACATTTCTGTGCTTTTCTTGAAATGCTTCCTTAATTTTACAGCTCATTCTCTGATTTCTTCTTGCTACTTAATAATTTTAACTGAGAGGCTAAGTGAATAACTGCCTTACTGACATCTGTGAATGACATCAAGAGATCTTGAGGACAGTTTAAGGTTCTTCCCTTGGGAGAAGAAATGCTCATTCAATATAACACTTTGGTATGCCATCAGAATGTCTCAGGTTACTTCCAATAAATTCGTTTTTTGTTTCGATGAATTTTGATTGTTGTTCATTAGGGAATAAAGCCGTGATTCTGTGCAAACAATTCCCTACTAAGATGAATGATGCTATTTAGTGAAGGTAAAACACAATCCAGGATACCAAAAGAACTTCTGCTATTCAAGTAATGCTATGGGATCTTTAATGTCTAGATGGATGGGCCATTAGTCTTCTCTGAAGGTTTTCCTTCCCTTTCAGAGTGAAATATAGAATTGTAGTGGTGGGGTGTCGGGGGGTGGGGAGATGCTGGTGGCGGTGGTATTGTACGGAGATGGTGGCTACCTCTGCTGATAGTTGGAGTGCTGGTGAGAAACCTATAAATCTTTCTTGGACAAGGCCTACCAAAATATGAAACAATCAAGCAATCAACAGACCACCAAGGGCCTTTCATTGAATCAAAGCCAAAGGGGTGGCAAATCCCACTCATCAATAGCTGTAAGCCAATCAGAGGCTGGCAACTCCTTTATTCAGTATTAGCACCCTGGGAGCCTGTGGCTGCTATCAAAATATTATCCACTAAGGCCCAGGATCATGGTGCAGCTGAGGGCAGAGGTCAGTAATTGTGGAAACAGTTGTGTGTGGTGGGAAGCACTATGGAGAAAGTGGTAGTGGTGTTGTCCACAAGTGCAGAGGTGTGTCTATCATTGGGCCCCTGTTCCGATGCTAGGTTCCTCGATCACGCATTGAATGCTTTTGAATGAGGGATTTCCTTGGGAGACCACATGTTAGCTTGTCATACACATTGTATAGAGAGCCCCTTGTTTGTTTTTGTGTTAATACCAATAGTGGGGAGTTTAAGCCTTTAAGTGGGCATTATTTATCTATTTAAAGGCTTCAAACGATAGAGGGGCACTTGTTCCAAGTAATCAAGTGAAGGAAAGTTGGAGGATGTTTGGGAGGAATAGTTTACAGAAGGAGAGAGAGAAAAAGAGAGAGAGAGAGGCCCTGTCTCATGGTGGTTTTATCTGCCAACACTGAGGGACTCATTGAGGAGAAGAAGGAGCAACAGAAATGGAGGAAGCTCCAGGCACTGGGACAGCAGTGATCTTAAGGCCAACATGGTTTCTAGACAGTAGGGGAATAAGTGAATACAGGGATAGTATTAGACGTGAAAAAATAATTAAATGTTCACTAACATCTTGTTGAGTAGAGGAGCAGGTTCGCTGAGTCACATGACTGACATTTGATTCTATTTCTTGTGTTTTGTCTTCTTAGCAGTTATCATCTTTAGATATCCAACTTGTTGTTCTGAGATCTCCATAGTTGAAGCATGCAAGGGTGGGTTGTAAAAGAAGATATGAATTAGCAGCAGGAGATTCAGCCCATTAAGACTGGCCATCCATTCAATAATATCATGGCTGAACTAATTGTATACTTAAATCCACATCTTGGCAATCCCTGATAACCTCCTGCCCTCCTGCTTAGCAATGACCTACCTCTTTCTTAAAGATATTCAGTGGCTCTGCATTTATCACTTTTCCAGGAAGAGAGCTCTAAAGACTCAAGTGATCTAAGAATGACCCTCTGAGAGAAACATTTTGCCTCATCTCTGTTTCAAATGTGATCCCTGATTTTTAAACAGTGACCTCATGTTCTAGACGTCCCATAAGAAACAATATCCCTTCCACATGTATCGTGTCATGATCCCTTGGGATCTTGTACATTTCAATCAAGTTGCCGCTTGCTCCTTTAAACTCCAGTGGATAAAAGCCTAGTCTGTCCAACCTTTCCTCATTAGACAACTCCCCCATTCCAGGTATTGGTCTAATAAACCTTCTCTGAACTGCCTCCAATATGCTATAACTCCCTCAGAGATAGCAAGAACTGCATATGCTGGAGTCAGAGATAACAAAGTGTGGAGCTGGAGGAACACAGCAGGCCAGGCAGCATTAGAGGAACAGGAAAGTTGATGTTTCGGGTTGAGACCCTGCTTCAGAAATGGGAAGGGGAAGGGAGCTCAGAAATAAATAGAGAGAGGAGGCCTGGGGCTGGGGAAGGTAGGTGGGATGGTGATAGGTGAGTGCACATAGGGAGTGGTGGGGATTGGTCAGTGAGGTGGGAGGGGCGGATAGGTGGGACAGAAGTTGGATAGGTTGTGTCAGGTCATGGAGGCAGGGATGAGAGGGAGGGTTGGACATAGGATGACGCCGGGGGGTGGGGAGATTTGAAAGCTACCCTGGCTCTGTTTACTTCCCCGGTCCAGGAACTCCCCACCCAGCACACCACCCATGCCCTCTATCTCCTCCAAGACTTCCAATTCCCTGGCCCCTAACACCTCATCTACATTATTGACATCCAATCCCTGTACACCTGTATCCCCCACACAGATGGCCTAAAAGCTCTCCGTTTCTTCCTCTCCCACAGGCACAACCAGTCCCCCTCCACCAACACCCTCATCCACTTAACCGAACTCGTCTTTACCATTAACAACTTCTCCTTTAACTCCTCCCACTTCCTACACACTAAGGGGGTGGCTGTGGGAACCTGCATGGGCCCAAGCTATTCCTGCCTCGTTGAAGGATACGTGGAACAGTCCCTGCTACACTGGCACTATCCCCCACCTCACCCTCCACTATATTGGTGACTGTATCGGCAATGCCTCATGCTCCCACAAAGAGCTTGAACAGTTCATCAACTTTACTAACATGTTTCACCCCAACCTCAAATTCACCTGGACCATCTCTGATACCTCCCTCTCCTTCCTGGACACCTCTGTTTCCATCTCTGATGACTGCCTCGAAACCGACATCTATTTCAAGCTCACTGACTCCCACAGCTACCTAGACTACACCTCCTCTCACCCATCTTCCTGCAAGAATGCGATTCCCTGCTCCCAACTCCTCTGCCTCCACTGTGTCAGATCCTAAGATGGGGCATTTCACTCCCGCACATCCCAGATGTCCTCCTATTTCAAGGACTGTAACTTCCCCCTCTGGTGATCGAAAATGCCCTCAAACGCATCTTTTGCATTTCCCGCACCTCTGCCCTCACATCGCCTCCCCCCAGTGAAAATAAAGTCAGAATTCCCCTTGTCCTCATATATCACTACACCAACCTTCGCATCCAACGCATCATTCTCTCCCACTTCCACCACCTACAATCCAACCCCACAACCAAAGATATATTTCCCTCCCCACGCCTATCTGTCTTTTGTAGAGGACGCTCTCTCTCTTGTCTGCTGTACACTCCCCATTAGCCCCACCACCCCCGGCACCTTTCCTGACTACCGCAGGAAGTGCTACACCTGCTCCGATACCTCCCCCCTCACCTCTATTTGAGGCACAAAACAAACCTTCCACATCAGACAGGGGTTCACCTGCATCTGCTGCTCCCGATGTGGCCTCCTCTACATCGGTGAAACCAAGTGGACACTCGGTGACCGTTTTGTAGAGCACCTGCGCCCTGTACGCAACAAACAACAACGCCTTCCAGTTGCAAACCATTTCAACTACCACTCCCACTCTCTGGGTGACACCACCCGCAAACTGGAGAAGCAGCACCTCATATTTCACCTTGGGAGCCTATAGCCCGACGGCCTAAACATAGAACCAGCTTTAAAATCTCCCCATCCCCTGGCCTCATCCCATGTCCAACCCTCCCTCTCATCCCTGCCTCCTTGACCTGACACAACCTGTCCATCTTCTCTCCCACCTATCTGCCACTGCCGCCTCACTGACCAATCCCCACTTCTGCCTACCCGCACTCACCTATCACCATCCCATGTACCTTCTCCAGCCCCACCCCTCCTCTCTCTATTTATTTCTGAGCTCCCTTCCCCATCCCCCATTTCTGAAGAAGTGTTTTGACCTGAAATGTCAACTTTCCTGCTCCTTTGATGCTGCCTGGCCTGTTGTGCTCCTCCAGCTCCACACTGTTGTCTCCAATATGTTATATTCTTTTGTAAATAATGTTATTTACTATTGTGCACAGTACATCAGATGTGGTCTCACTCATGCCCTAACTGAAGCATAACCTCCATACTGTACTATTCAACTCTCCTCTTAATAAATGATAATACCCTATTAGCTTTCCAAATTATCTCATGTACCTGCATAATAACTTTATATGAGTTATGTATGACAAAACCAGATCTGCTGGCATCTCAGAACTCTACAATCTCTCACCATTTAAATAACATACTTCTCTTTATTCTTCCTCCCAAATGGACAACTTCACATTTTCCTACATTATATTCCATTTGCCAATCTACGCTCACGCACTCTCTTAAACTTAGCCTTAACTTATTGACTTGTGTATAACCTCCTTGAATCCTCTTCATAACTTACTATCTTAACTATCATTGTGCTGTTGTCAGCAAATATGACAATTGTACATTCAATCCCTTCATTGACATCATTTATATATATTTATACCATTAAGGTGCCAAAACCAACCACCATTTCCTTAGTTCCCATTATTAGTTCTCCAGACTCACTTTATATTGGACCAATGTTCATTTTGTTAACTATTCTTTTTCTTTAAATATTTATGGAAACTTCCGCTATCTCTTTTTATATTTCTGGCTAGCTTTCTCTCATACTATGATTTTTCCCTCATTATTAACTTTTTGTCAATCCTTGCGGTTTTTGTTACATTCTGTCCAATCTTATGATGTGCCAACTATTTTTGCGCAATTATAAGCTTTTAAAAAATTTTTATACTATCTTTAACATTCTAGTTAACCTCAGATGGATCTATTCATTGGAGGTTTTCTTGCTTGTTGGAATGTATCAATTCTATATATTCCAAAATGTCCCCTAACTGTCTGCCACTGAAACTTTATTGACCTATCCTATTCTTCAACATTATTTGTCAATTCACTTTAGCTAGTTCTGCTTTCATGTCTTCATAATTACCTTTATTTAAATTTTAAAAAATAGTCTCAGACCCACTCCCTTTTCCCTTAACATGAATGTAGAATTCAATTATATTATGGTATCTGCTATCTAGGGACATCTTCACTTACAGATCATTAACTAATACTACCTCATTGTACAATACTGGATCTAGTACAGCATAATATATCCCATTGTACAATACTAGAACTGGTATAGCCTGCTTCCTGGTTACCTCCAGAACAGGCTGCTCTAAGAAACTATTCTGAAAATATTAATGAACTTCTTACCTAGGCTACCTTTGCCCATCTGACTTTTCCAGTTTTTATGTTGATTAAAATGTCCCATTATTATTACCATGCATTTCTTTCTTTATACTCTAACTACTCTGTGGTTACTTTTAGGAGCCTTGTGTACCACTCCCAAAAGAGACTTCTTGTCTTTATATTTCTCATTTCTAGCTAAACTGTTTCCATATTTTGTTTTCCTGAACTTAGGCAATCCGTCACTATTGTGCTGATACTATCATTAATTGACAGAGGCACCCCTCTAACTTTTCCTACTTTCCTGTCATTCCTAAATGTCATGCACCTTCAAGATTCAGGTGCCAATCTATTTCGTCATACAGTCATGTGTGAATAATGGCTATTAGATCATATTTGTTCATTTCTGTTTGCACTCGTAGTTCATGTTTTGTTTGAATGCTATGTGCATTCTGATATGCAGCATTTAGTTTTATTCTTTTCTTCTCTTTGCAAATTCTAGTCTTAACTGTTGGTTGCCTCTTAGATTTGTATTCTCGATACCTTCCTATCACGGTCTGTTTGACATTTTCCGTATTAGTAACTTTCTCTTTCCCCTTGATTCTACTATTTGATTTGATCCCTTGACCTCATTATTTAGTCTAAGAATTTAGTCTCCACTTCCACAGTTATTCTGTTGGCAAGAAATACCAGCTCCAGCACAGTTCAGATGGAGACTATCTCATCAGTATAATTACCACATTTCGAGTACTGGTGCTGGTGTCTTGAGAATCAGAAACAACTTCTCCCACATTGGCCGTTGAGCCATGCATTCATGTCTGTAGTGTGATTTGACCCATGCCACTTTGTACGTGGATCAGATAATGATGCAAAGATTGTCTTCTTTGACGTTCTTTTCTTAATTTGGTGACTAGCTCCCTATAACTTGTCCTGATAATGTCATTGATCTTTATATGGATCATGATAACTGGATCTTTCTCATCCCATTCCAAGTTTCTCTCCACTCCAGCCCTTAGGAGATGTCTCTACTCTGGCACGGAGACTCATGGGGTGAGTGGCAGACGACTACTACATTCCTTCTTTTTCCTCCTCTTGAATTGCTTTTTATACCTTGTGTCATGATGAGATAACATATCCTCTCTGCAGCTCTCACTTTTGTCTAGACAAGTTGGAAGAGGCTCAAGTCTGTTAGACAGTTGCCAAGCTATGGCTCCTGTGCTTCTGTGCTCTGGATCTCCTTATCTGCCTCACTGTCATTCACATTCTTCTGTCCCAAAACACTGACTAAATCAGACAATCTGACCCTATGAGTTGTGACTGCCCCCTAGTACAAAGAATCCAGCCAAATCTTCTCAAACTTCAAACACTTCCCACAGACATGTTTGTTTTGGACAAAACTGGTATTCAGAAACTCCCAAATGCTTCAAGTGTGACACATCACCAGTCCTGCCATCCTTCATTTTTTTTTTAAGGAATTACTTCATTATTGTATTAAATGTTATATTTAGTTATGTTTTTTCTATATTTTGTTAACATTTCCACCAGCTGCTATATTACATTGAACCTTAAGGATAGAACAAACCTTCATCACTTCCTAGATGCTCAAAAAATGATTGGCTTCTTCTCCTGTAGCAGAGCAAGAATCAATTCCCAGAGATTGAAAATGTTTAAGCTAAAGCAATAGAAAACCTCTTTCCATTCTTTCACTTAAGTCCCTGAATCACTTAACACTGGCACTCTATGTAAGTTGCAATCAAGTTGCACTACGTCTGCTAGTTTTATGAGCTCCTAACACAAAATACTGATCTGACTCATTTAATGAGGATTCAGTTTCGGCTGGTACTTAATTAAACTGCTCTTTCACTGGAACTTTTGAAAAAATAGCCTTGCTTAAGGCTGGCAACTACATCATTTAAACTGTAGATTTCAGTTTAGTACTAAGTGCAAATTTAGTTAGATTTAAACAAAATGAAAATTTGGACTTTCTTTCCCAATAATTGCTTGCACTGCATCCTAGGTCAAACTCCTTGTGAACTTGTACAACACCTGATATGGGGATGCTTGGTACTCACACTGGTTGCAAATAAGTCTTCCATTGTGTAGTGGGAATATCCCTTCAATTTGGTGTGAACAGTAAACAAAGAAATTCTGATAAAGATGTATTCCAGAATCATTAACCCATCTTTTCACTTTACAAATGTCACTGGCATTTGCTATTTGTTTAAACAACTTCCAGTCATTGAATGTTCAGCTATGTTTTTTGAATAGATTAGAACTTTATCGAATCTTGGAAAATGGAACACTATTTGAAACGCAAAATGATGAGAGCTGCAAGCAACATTCTCAGATAAGCTACAATGAGGTAAGATTACCTGAAGTGATTTGACAAAGTAATAGCACTCATCTTCTCCAGTGCCAATTTGTGTAATCAACTGACCTTTTTGATTCCTTAATTGTAACTCCAGGGTCATATTTTTATCTAGATGACCAAGATACCACTTGTTGCAGGCAGCAAGTAGCAGGAAATCATGCAGCCTAAATGTTGCCTCCTGATTTCAGGATTGTGATTGGATTGGTTCAGGGTCATCTTATAGGATTCACCTGGAAAATCTGGGGGGCACACAGTGATGTGAGTGAAATACCACCACCACAAGCTTTAACAATGTTTGCAGATGTGATAGGTGGAATAACAATAAATATTGATTGTACATCTTAGGTTTAAACATACATCCATGGTAGTGGTTCTTTGTCATTGCACTCTATGAAGCTAAATACTTTGCGAGGACTGAAAATTGTTTTTCAGATTTTTAATTGAGATTTTTAAATGAGGAATCCAGCTCCCAGTTGAATCACAACAAATCAGGTGATAAAATATCTCAGCTACAATATTCTTTTCAGAAAGACAGTAGGAAGCAGGGAGATTACAATCTATTGCACTCATCTTTTAAATTACACAGAGCTGACAAAGGAATTAAGATAACTACACGCCTTAAGTGACATGTAATATTGACAATAGGGAAGATAATGTGAAGTGAGGAGAACACATGATTGCAAATCTGCAGCTGGCCTGAAGTGGTCTGCTAATACCAAGTTCTGGGCTATTGTATTGAAATGCTTCAGTCTGTTAAAAGTAAGCATGTTTTCAACAGCAATTGAATTTGTATGTTACAGAATAAATTACTGGGTCTATAAATAAAACAATATTCTTAAATGGCTTAGCAATTGTGGCTTGCAATGCATACACTTTGTTATCCTGACCAAATGGTTAGAAGAATACAAGCCATAATGGTTATTACGAGTTTGGTGGTGGAGTGGAATAAATTATTGCAAGATTTATAAAAATACACACAAGCATATGAATTGGGAGCAGAAGCAGGCCATTCCGCCCCTCGAGCCTCCTCCACCATTCAATTAGATGATGACTGATCTAGAGTCATAGAGTCATAAAGCGCAGAAACAGACCCTTCAGTCCAACTCATTTGTGCTGACCAGATATCTCAATCTGACCTAGTCCCATTTGCCAAGATACCTTTCTCATTCATATACCCATCAACATGCCTTTTAAATGTTGTAACTGCATCTGCCTCCATTACTTCCTCTGGCAGCTTGTTCCATGTGAGAAGAAGTTACCCCTCAGGTCCTTTTTAAATCTTTCTCCTGTCACCTAAAACCTATGCCCTCTAGTTCTGGACTCCCCCAATCCAGGAAAAAGACCTTGGCTATTCACCCTATCCATGTCACTCATGATTTTATAAACCTCTATAAAGTCACTCCTCAGCCTTTGATGCTCCTGGGGTAAAAAAAGCCCAGCTTATTCACTTCGAATTCCACATTTCTACCTAATCCCGATAACCTCAGATTTTTGTTAGACAAGGGAAACAATTTACCTGTACCTTAAAAATATTCAACGACCCTGCCTCAATTGCCTTCCAAAGTGAAGAATTCAAAAGTCGCACAACCCACCGAGAGAAAATCATTCTCCTCACCGCTGTCCTAAAAGGGTGGCCCGTAATTATAAAACAATACCCTTGGTTCTGGATTCACCCACAAGAGGAAAACATTATTTCCACATTCATCTTTTCAAATCCATACAGGTTCCTCTATAAAACCTGGGTGAATCTATAGATCACGTGCATTATTTTTTACTTTAGAGGGTTCTAAAGCCTTTGGAGCCATGTTTCAGCAAAGCTGGTGATGTCCTTGAGTCATATTTTAAAATTTCAATATTTCTCTTATCTGTTCTTGTTCTCGGTGAAATGGAACTTGCCATTTCTGTTCGCATGGGAAAGGGTCATGCATAGGGCTGCCGGAGTGTATAATGGAAAGAATGATGGGCAGAGTAAACAAGTCACCCTTTCATGTTAGCTGTTCATGCAGTGCAGGGGCATTATTGGGAAGTAAACCTGTGCCCGCTCTCAATATTACTGTACACATAGAAAAAATTCACTGATCTTCGAAAACAATAGTTCACTTGAATGCTTCCATAGCCAGCCACATAATTTTGTTTGATTTTTAAGCTGTCTTGTAGCAATTTCCTGTCTTGCACAAGTGGCTTTGTATGCCATTTAGAATTTCATAGGTTCAAAGCTACCTCCAATTCAGCAAGCAATATTTCACCCTAGATCTTAACAATGAGTTATCTTTAAGTTGTGTGTTTTCATTGAAGTAAATAAATAAACAGCACTACTGTCTCATGCTGCCAGTAAAATGGTTAAAAATACTGCAGATATTTGATTTTTGCCTGCCAATGTTGATTTTTGTTGCTACCTATTTTTTGGCACAGATAGATGAATTTGTGATTTCATGGAAACAGAGGATTTACTGTAAACTAATTACCTCAACCACTTCCGATGGTTGTGCGTTCCACATTCTACCCGGTTTGCGATATGAGAGTTGAACGTATATAGTAGCAAATGGGTTAGCCACTCTGCATTGAATCTGGCTGGACCCGATAAAGCACTAATGGCTCCTCACTTGTTCATCAAAACTGCTTACTATTTCATGAACATCCTGGTCTGTAATACAAACTCCAGTTTCTTTGTTGCAAACTGTCTTCTTAAACCTCTTTGTTCTGTCTTGTCCACCATCACTTCAAAGAACAAAACTTGTGCAATTCTTTGCCTCTAAGATTAAGGCCATTTTTCAGCTGCCTTTCTTTTTCCCCTTCCCTGAACTCACAGGCCCAAACTTCTATTAAGGGACCCCTGCCCTAACCCTGAACTTTTATATTTCTTCAGTTTCTCCTTTCTTTCCTTGCAAACTCTCTCAGTTCTTCTTGACAGAAGAGTCCAAAAGACCCACTCTGCTCCCTCTAATTAAAAACAAAAAGAACTGTGAATGCTGTAAATCAGAAACAAAAACAGAAATTGCTAGAAAAGCAAGTTCTGAGGAAGGGTCACTCGACCCGAAATGTTAACTCTGATTTCTCTCCACATATGCTACCAGACCTGTTCCCTCTATCCTAGTCTCACCAAACAGCTGACCACTCTCCTTTCTTTTCTGGTCCAGTATTAACTGATATCATTAATGTTTCTCTTTCCTGACGTACAGCTCCCTCACTCCTTCAAATTTGTCATCGTCACTCACTCCTTGAAAATCCAAACCTTGACCATCTAGTCCTTGCAAATTTTACCCCTGACACCAAAATCTTTTCATCTCTAGAAACATAATATTACCTACCCCCAAATCTGTGCCAATCTTTTGGGAATTCTATGATTTAATCCCTCCAATCAGGTTTTACCGCTTGTCACAGTCTTGTTTCTCCCTTACCAACAGACAAGTGACATACTATGTGATTTTGCCAAGGGCAACTCTCCCATCTCATTCATCATTACCTGCCTGCAGCCTTTGACACCATCCTCCTCCATTGCTTCTCTGCTGCCATCCAATTGGGTGAGACTGCACTCACTTGATTCCTTTCTTATCTATTTGTTATAATCAGTGAGTCAAGGGCTCTGGTGGTACAGTGGTAGTGTCCATACCTCTGGGCCAGGGGACCCACCTGCTCCAGAGGTATGTCATAGCATCTTTGAATGGTTGATGAGAAATATATATAACCAGTGAACTAATTTAGAGGCTCTCTTTCTGCTTCTGCACCATTAGCTCCGTTGTAACCTCTTTTATTTCTCATCCATGTGCTGCCTTTCAACGGCACAATTTAAAAACGCATGGCTGGCGTTTTGCAGTGTTGGGAAGACTCCACGGACCTTCCTCCCCCATCTCTTTCACATTTGCCAGTGTGGGAAAGACAGCAGGTAATTACAGAGGAATGAAACCTGGACTCAGTAGAGCCATTTGAACTCAGTGTTGAATTAAAACAGATTGCATTTGGCTGTTGCAAGGGCAGTGTGCAATTCATGTATTCATGAAGGAGAAAGAATTACTCACACAGGGCAGATAGGGTTGGTATAAAGATCTTGCTTTTAAGTTTCTAAATGCTCTGTGCATTAAACTTAAAAAAAAACTTACTGTAATTGTCAGTAAGAGTTAAGAAAACTCTCTGCTGAGCAGCTTTTGTTTCTTAGCTGGGCAGTTTCAATACTTTTTTTAAATGACTTGCTACTTGCTTGCCCCTGGTCCAACCTTCCATCACAATGCCTCCACTCCCCTACTCCCTGGGTGAAAATCAATCTTTTGAGATCCTTTTCACTGAGATGGTCTAGGAGTCAGAAAACCGATTTGTGCTACCATCTTGGTAGCTAACATTCAGCCCACAGCATCAACACTAACAATGCCTAGCTCTGTGTCACCATTCTCTCTCTCAATTCTTCCATTGTCTCTAAATTATCAGGCTGCTTGTCTGCCACCTATACTGGATAAGCAGAATATTTCTCCATCTAAATGTTGGTAGTCCAAAGACATTTTCTCTGCCATATATTTTGTTCCTGGCCCTTGATTCTATCCCCCTCCATGGCAAATATCTGAGACCAAGCCAAACTGATGTTGACTTGTCAAATGTGATCCTGACATAAGCTGACACAACTATTCCATGATGAGGACCACCTATTTCCACATGCATGACATCACCTGAATCTGTCCCTGCCTCAACGTTGTCGAAACCTTCACTTCTCTCTTTGTTATCTCGAGATTTAACTATTCCAATCCACTTCTGGCTGATTTTTCATCTTCCACACACCTTAATTTGACACTATCCAAAGTTCAGCTACTCATGTCCTAACTTGCACCAGATCCACTCAACAATCGCTCCTGTGTTCACTGACTTTACATGGGTTCCTAGTTAAGCAAGAGAACTGTTTTAAAATTCCCATCCTTGCATCCAAATTTCTCAATGGCCTCACCTATCCTGTCTCTGCAACTTTCTCCAACCCTACTACCTGCCAATACATCTGCATTCATCTAATTCTGGCCTCTTGGTCATCCCCAGCTGCGATGACTGCACTGCTGGCAGCTGGGCCTTCAGTTGCTGGGGCTCTAACTTCTGTCATTCCCTTTCAGAATCGCTCTGGCTCTCCAGCTCTCTTTCCAGCCTGAGGCCATTTCAGAAAACTGATTTCCTTAGACACACCCTAAATTATATCAAATTATGTTCAATAACAATAGTGCAAAGTGTGTAGGGATGTTTTATTATGTTAAAGGATGCATAACAAGCTGTTGTTATTTTATTAATAGATGTCTGTCAAGCTGCTAAACTCAACTAAGGTAAACCTTCTCCTGAATGAGTATAGAACTGACATTCGATATAAAGACTGCTATGTCAATTTGGTAAGCCATTTGTACAAAGATCAGTCACTGTGTGGATGCTAGATATGTTTTAATCAACCTGAACAGAGATATTATTACACATCTCTAAAGCAGGTGGGACTTGAACCCGGGCCTCCTGGCTTAGATATAGGGGCATGTGCCACAAGAGCCCTCCTGTGTTGACTCTATGCCATCATTTATTTTGATATTTTGCGTTAGCAACAAGATTTTAAAAAGCAGTAACTGAATCAGTTGTCTAATATTTTCCAGTTTCTTAATGCTCCCGCAAAGTTTAATGACCTACCTTTATAATTGTTATTCCAGTACAAGAATGTCTTGCATGCCAAGCTCCAAGCGTTTAGTTTATTAGGAAAATCTAATTGGTGAAGTTCCTGCAGGAACACAGCACTTGCATGTTGTAAATTCCTGCATATTACAGTTTAATTGCATGCATCAACTTTTATCAGTCTGTTATATGATAGTTAAGTCATTCTAATAGTATTACCCATACGTGTTCTCTGAACTGTCTTCATCCTGCTCCTTCAATTTTTTCTGTAATTTTTTGAGTTTCTAAAGTTTACTGAGCATTGTGTGATTTCCCTTCTCACTTCTGAATTCTTTGGGTGCAGTTTTTCCCTCCCTGGAGAAGAGGAAGTAATGGGGAGTTGGCCCAGGAGAGAAACTTCTCACACCTCACCAGTAAAGTGTAGAGGAAGAAGGTCCACTAGGAACTTTCTCAACTCAACAGGAATTAAGGCCCTGAAATTCCAAATAATCAATGTGCCACATTGTAACAAATTTTATTATAAGCAAATCATATGACAAAGTAACCACATAAATGCCGTAGCTCACCAATTCCCCATACGCTTGCCTCTCTGGCAAATGAGAAAGCTGGCTAAGCTTCTGACTGGGAAAACATGGAGATCTGCCTGCTGGGTTAGGGGAGGCTCCAATTGCCCAACTCTGGTGGAAATTGGAGGGATGGATGAAGGGGTGAGGGGTGGCCTCTGAGAACACTGGAGAACCCTACCTTGCCTCCAAACACCCTGACCACACCCTCTCCCCATGACTCCCACACTGCGACAGAAGAAAAAAATCTTACTTTCTCACTGCTGGTTCCCATGAGACTTAGCCAGAAGCAGTCAGTCTCTGATGGGTAGCTAGCTTCTGGTGAGCAGAGTTGTCAGTGTTGAGGCCTGTACTATTTTTACTTGTCTGTTTCTGGCTGATTGCTGGGTGATCAGGTGAAGCATCTTGCTGGTTGGGATGGTATGTTAGTCACCACCCTTGCTCCCACATTTTTAAAGAAAACAAAATGGGAAAATTATTCTGTTTCCAAAAGGATATAATATTTGTACACCCCTTTGGTCATTCTTTCATTCTAAGGCTGTGATTGAACCCTTCAGTAGCATAACCACTCCTGTGTGTCTGCACCCTCCCTACTCCAAGTTTCTATCTCTATCCTGAAAATGTTATAGCTATGAATATCGTATGCATTAGCTGCATTGTCATTGGGATCTCTTTTGTGGCCGAGGTGACCTGTACAGGAGATACCTGAACTAGAGGGGGACCAATATCCTGGCAGGGAGATTTGTTAGAGTTACTTGGGAGAGTTTAAACTAGTCTAGCAGGGGGTGGGACCCCAAACAGTAGTGAGACAAAAGAGAAGACTGAAGCTAGTACAGAAATTACAGAGAACAAGTTACAAGGCAGGCAAGAGCATGGCAGGGAATGAGGGAAGACTGATGAATTAAACTGCATTTATTTCATTGCAAGAAGCCTGACAGGTAAGGCGGATGAATCCAGGGCATGGATGGGGACATGATAGTGGGATATCAATAGCTATTACAGATACATGGGTGAGTAAGGACAAGACCGGCAGCTCAATATTCTGGGATACAGATACTATTGGAAAGATAGAAGGGGAGGCAAGAGAGGAGAGGGAGCAGTGTTTTTGATTAGGGAAAACATCACAGCAGTAATTAGATAGGATTTTTCTGAGGGATCATCCAGTGAAGCTATATGGGAGGAACTGAGATCTAAGAAGGGGTGATCACTTTGATGGGATTGTATTACAGGCCCCCCAACAGTCAGTAAGAAATTGAGGAGCAAATATGTAGGGAGATTGCAGATAACTGTAAGAGTAATAGGGTTGTAATAGTAGGAGATTTTAACTTTCCAAACATAGTCTGAGACTGCCATATTGTTAAGGGCTTGGATGGGGGAGAATCTTTTAAGTGTGTTCAGAAAAACTTTCTCAATCCCATGTCGATGACCCTACTAGAGTAGGGTCAAAACTTTACCTCTTGGAGGGAAATAAGGCACGGCAAGTGGCTGAGGTGTTAGTGGGGGTGCGTTTTGGGACCAGTGACCATAGTTCTATTAGTTTTAAAATAAAATAGAAAAGGGTAGATCTGGCCCACAAGTTAAAGTTTGAAACTGGGGCAAGGCCAATTTTGATGGTATTAGACAATCAAAATTTGACTGGGGGAGGCTGTTCGCAGGTAAAGGGACATCTGGCAAGTGGGAGGTTTTCAAAAGTGAGATAATGAGAGTTCAGGGTCAGCATGTTCCTGTGTGAAGGGCTAGGCTGGCAGGAGCAGGGAACACTGGATGACTGGAGATATTGAAGCTGTGGTCAACAAAAAGAAGGAGGCATATGTCAATTATAGGGAGCTGGGATCAAGTAAGCCCCTTGAGGAGTATAAGGGGTCTAGGAATATACTTAAGAGGGAAAACAGGAGAGCAAAAAGAGGACATGAGATAGCTTTGGCGGACAAGGTAAAGGAGAATACAACAAGATTCTACAAGTATATTAAGGGCAACAGAGAAACTAGGGACAGAATAGGGCAGCATAAAGATCAACGAAGTCTTCTATGTGTGAAGCCATAAAAGATGCGTGAGATCCTAAATGAATATTTTTCATCAGTATTTACCATAGAAAAAGACAAGGAAGCTAGGGAACTCTGGGAAATAAATAATGATGTCTTGAAAAGAGTCCACATTACAGAAGAGGAGGTCTTAGAGATCTTAAAACACATAAAGGTAGATAAATCCCCAAGACACGATCAAGTGTATTCCAGGACACTGCCGGGAGCTGGGGAAAAATTTGCACAGCTTCTTGCTGAGATATTTGTACCATCCACTTTTTAAGAAAGGCTGCAAAGAAAAGCTAGGGTACAATAGACCGGTGAGCCTAACATCAGTAGTGGATGTTGTTGAAGAGGATTCTGAGAGACAGGATCTCTCAGAAAGGCATTTGGAAAGGCAAAGACTAATTAGGGAGAGTCAACATGGCTTTGTGCGAGGGAAATCAAGTGCTACAAAGTTGATTAATTTTTTGAAGACGTGACCAAGAAGATAGATGAAAGCAGAGTGATAGACATTGTCTACATAGACTTTAGTAAGACCTTCGACAAGGTTACACATGGTAGACTGGTTAGGAAAGATCACATGGCATCCAGGAAGAGCTAGCCAAATGGATAAAAAATTGGCTTGAAGTTAGGAGACAGAGTGATGGTAGAGGATTGTTGTTCAGACTGGAGGCCTGTGACCAGCAGTGAGCCTCAAGGATTGGTGCTGGGTCCCTATTGTCCATCATTTATATAAACAATTTGGATGAGAGTATAGGAGGCATGATTAGTAAATTTGTGGATAACACCAAAATTGGTGGTATTGTAAAGAAAGTTAACTAAGAATACAACTGATCTTGGCAACTGGGCCAGTGTGCCAAATATTTTCACATGGAGATTAATTCAGATAAATGTGAGGCATTGCATTTTGGTGAGACAAACCAAGGCAGGACTTACACAGTTAATGGTAGGGCTCTGGGGAGTATTTTCGAGCAGACAGACCTAAGGATGCAGGTACATAGTTCCTTGAAAATGGTGTCACTGGTAAACAGGTGGTGAAGAAAGTGTTTGGCACGCTTGCCTTCATTGGTCAGAGCATTGAGTACAGAGTTAGGATGTCATGTTACAGACGTGCAAGACATTGGTAAGATCACTTACTGTGTACTGCATACAATTCTGGTCGTCCACCTATGGGAAGGATGTATTAAACTGGAAATGGTGCAAAAAAGATTTACAAGGATGTTTCTGAGAGTGAAAGGTTTGAGTTATAAGGAGAGGCTGGATAGACTGGGACTTTCTTTCCTGAAGCATAAGACGCTGAGGGGTGACCTTATAGAGGTTTATAAAATCATAAGGGGCATGGATGGGATGAATAGCCAAGGTCTTTTTTCCAGGGTAGGGAAATCCAAAACTAGAGGGCATAGGTTTAAGTTGAGAGGGGAAACATTTAAAAGGGACTTGAGGGGCAACTTTTTACACACTGAGGATGATGCATAAATGGAATGAGCTGCCAGAGAAAGTGGTAGAGGTGGGTACAACTGTAACATTTAAAAGATATTTGGACAGGTACATGCATGGGGAAGGTTTAGAGGGATATCGGCCAGACGCAGTCAAATCAAGCTAGTTCAGTTTAGGAAACTAGGTCAGCATGGATGAGTTGGGCCGAAGGGTGTGGTTCCATGCTGTGTGCCTCTATGACACTAAAACTGTATGAGATGCATTTCTCACCAGGGTCAGTTTTGTTTTGTTCCTTCATTGGATGTTGATGTTGATGGCTCAGCCAGCATTTAATATCCTTGCCTAACTGTCCTGGAGCAGGTGGTGATGAGGTACTTTCTTGAACTGCTGCAGTCCATGTGGTATAGGTTCTGTTAGGAAAGGATTTCCAGGGTTTTGACACAATGAAGGACCAGCAGCGTAGCTCCAATTCAGTATGACGTGTGGTTTGTAGGGGAACTTGCAGGTCGTGATGTTCCCATGTATCTGCTGCACTTGTTATTTTAGGTGATAGGACCATGGGCTTGGAAAGTAGTTTCTAAGGAGACCTGGTGAATTGCTGCAGTGCATCTTATAGATTGCACAGTTGTAGCAGTATGTACATCAGTGGTGAAGGTATTTCATAAGGAAGCTGGTGGATGGCTGCCAATCAAGCAAGTTGCTGTGTCCTGCATGGTGTCCATCTTCTTGAGTGTTTTTGGAGTTCCTCTCATTCAAACAAGTGGGGAGGTATTCCATCACAGTCCAACTTGTGCCTTGTTGTTTGTGGACAGGCTTTGAGGAGTCAGGAGATAAGTTACTCACCATAAAATTACTTGTAGCCACAGTATTTATATGGCAGGCCCAGTTGAGTTTCTAGATAATAGTGATCCACAGGATGTTGTTACTGGGGAGGAATTCATCGATAGTAACACCATTGAATGTCAAAGGTTGGGTTCTCTTTTGTTGGAGATAGACATTGCCCAACATAAATTTTCCTTAACACTTATCAGTCCAAGCCGAACATTATCCATGTCTTTCTGCATTTGGACATGGACTACTTCAATATCTGAGGAGACACAAATGTTGCCGAACATTGTCCAATCATTTCTATTTATTTTCTTTCATCAGCTTATCTAATATCCCCTAATGTGCATTTATGCTTTTCATTTCAACTGTTCCATTTGATTGTGAGCGCCACATCCTAACTGCTGACTAATTGAACATGCTTCTCCTGATTTCCCTATTGGGTTTATTAATGACTGTATTATATTTATGACCAATTGCTCTTCTCCGGCCTACAAATGGAAGCAACTTTTCCATGTCTATCCTATCAAATTCTTGACTAATTTGAGACCATGAATAGGTCATCAGTCAGTCTTCACTCTCCTGGAGAAAAGAGCCCCAGCGAGACTAATAATTCTGTTCGATATTGCCACTTGGTTTTGCTTTTTAGACCATAAGAAATACAAACAGGAATAGGCAGTTTGGCCCCTTGAGCCTTCTCTGCCATTCAGTAGGATCATGGCTGATCCAATACTCTTCATGTCCACTTTCCAGGCCTTTCCACATAACCCTTGATTCCTCTACATATAAAGAATCTTTCACACTATCTGTGGGAAAGCGTTTCAAAGACATTCAAACCTCCAATAGAAGAATTCCTCCTCATCTCAGTCTTAAATTGGTGTCCCTTAAGTCTGAGACTATGCCCTCTGGTCCTAGAGTCTCCCATGGTCGGTAACATCCTCTCAGCATTTACCCTACATGTTTCAATGAGATCATCTGTCATTCTTCTAAATTCCATTTAACAGAATCCCCACCTGTTTAACCTTTGGTCATAAGAAAATCCTTCCATACTGATGATTACTGAGGGTGGCACAGTGGCTCAGTGGTTAACACTGTTGCCTCACAGTGCCAGGGACCTGGGTTTGATACTGCCCTCAGGTAACTGTCTGTGTGGAGTTTGCACATTCTCCCTCTGTCTGTGTGGGTTTCCTTCGGGTGCTCTGGTTTCTTCCCACAGTCCAAAGATGTGCAGGCTAAATGGATTGGCCATGGTAAATTGCCTGTAGTGTTCAGGGATGTGTAGATTAGGGGGATGGGTCTGGATGGGATGCTCTGTGGGTCAGTGTGGACTTGTTGGGCCAAAGAGCCTGTTTCCACACTGTAGGGATTCTATGAATTATCTCAGTGAACTTTCTTTACACTGCCTCCAATGAAATGACATCTTTTATTTAGTAAGGAATCAAAACTGCTTGCTACTCCAGATGTGGTCTCACTAGCACCTTGTACAATTGCAGTAAGACTTCCCTACTCTTACACTCCAATCCCTTTGAAATAAAGACCAACATTCCATTAGCCTTCCTAATTATCTACTGCACCTGTGTGCTAGCTTTGTGTTTTGTGCACAAGTATCCTTTCTTGTAAGCTCTACTAAATCATAAATCCAGCACCACTATGACCATTTTGTGATATGGAAGTGAGGATTGCGCATGGCCATAGGACACGGGATTCTTTATAGATTGATAGTCAATCATCATTCAATATTTTTTCTGACTCTATACTTTAAGTATGATGATTTTGATACCTTTGTTCTGATGTCATCTGCAAGAAGACTATATTCTGATGTTAAACCAGTGCCTTAGGAATGCCACCAGTTATGAAGAGTGATTATTTTCCAATTTGTTAACTTCTTACGTTAATATATGTTTGCTAAGCATATGTTGTTTGTTGTGAACTGTTAGTGGTCAGTCTTCATTAACTCTTTTATCTGTCTCTGTTATCTATAGAAACCATATATCAACCAATCAGCAATGACAGTCCATGCTAATTTTTCTCTTCAACGAACTTACACCATTTTTCGAACAGTGGGGCTTCGACACTTGACCGTTGTTGACTTGAGAAATCATATCCTTGGCATCATTACACGAAAAGATCTGATGGCATTCCAACTTGAAGAGAAACTACTTCAATCTGAGAATTTGGAATCAGAGAATGATAGAAGATAAAAACTTTCTGATGGAAATCTTCACATATTACACTTTCTGTGCAGAACACAAAGGTCGTTAAGAGAGGAAAGGAATTCTAAATTTGTAGAATTGTTTTTGATACATTGTCTCTAAAGCATCCTCACAACTTCAAATTTCTTTTTTAAACTTTGCTTTGTAATAGTCTTCACTTTCAGGGCTTCTTCAAACAGCCTTTTTAAAATCCTTTTTCAATAGCAATTTAGTAGGGTGATGTTATATACAGAGGTCACCTTCTTCAGAAGATATTCTTCAGAGGGTATGTCTCTTAACCAGCCTTGTGAAGAATTACAGTAAATTTCCTGTGTGCTTGCATTTTTCACAGGTGATCGCAATTCTCCGGGTTTTGATAATTGTTATACAAATTTATGGGATAAATAATTAAGTACGCTTTAGCGAAGAAAATGATTTTACCTGAGAATATTTTGCCTCAATTGTCCAGCAATCATGAACATTTTAGGTTGACCTTTCTTTTTAATTTATTAAATGCTATGGAGTAAAGGATATAAAGGATACAAAGTCTATGTAAAATGGTAGATCTTCTAATTTAGTGTTCATAATCTGAAATATGTTTTGCAACCTGGGCACTATAGACCAAAAATGTTAAGTACACACATAATTCCATTCTATCTATACATTACAATTAGCTTTGCTATTTTGCATTGGCTTTTATGAATTTGTTTCTAGTTATTGATAAATAATGAAAATTGAAAGTAATATGAAATTGTACTTAATTTTTAATGGGAAAATACATTGAGAAATTATATTAATATTTCAATTAAAGCTAGCAAAACTTCAGGTGACTGATACTTAAGAAACGGAGTTTGAGCTGGCTTTTTAGGAATAATTAGTTTGGAGGAATTTGTGCATATTATTAAAATTATTATTTGTTTTGAAATCTTTGTGTGCAGTATATTCCTGGAAAAGCAGCGTCCTAGTAACCTTGGCAAGGGGAAAGGACTGCAAGAGAAGTTGGACTAGGCTGTTAACAAGTGACAGCTCACTTAACTTAATTATTGCCAAAGGCCTCTGGCTGTACTGGTACTCTCCCAGTTCCTCACTATCTTTAATGTCATCTGTGTCATCTTTATCACACTGTTGAAGATTTTGACCTAATGGTGAATCCAGTTGTCATCCCTCCTCCAAATCAGGTGGTATCTCGCAAAGCTCAAGAGTATGGAACAGTCTTGCTTGGCTGCATTGGAGGAAACTCAATCTTTTTCAAGAGTAGAAACTTTGCTTCTACACTGTTATGAGTGCACAACACAGATGTGTATTCAACACAGATCTTTATTGAAGTCAGTCTGAAATACCTGCCTGCAGTATGTGTAGGCATCATGATAGAAATCACGTGACTATGACTGACTAGGGAAGGTATTTGTACAAGACAGGAATGTGTTTGGATTGAAATAAAATTGTTTTCAAAATATCTTGCACTCTATTTCAGCATATTTCAGCCCTTTGATTTGAATTTTGCATAATAAAAAAGCAAATGGCAATGAAAGTTTGACATAAATAAAACAAATAGCTATGGATGCTGGAAATCTGAAACAAAAACATGAACTGCTGGAGAAACTCCGCAGATCTGGCAGCATCTGCAGGGAGAAACAGAGTTAACGTTATGAATCCAATGACCCTCCTTCTGGTTCTGCATAGAGGGTGAATATTCAAAGTGAACCAGTTGCAACAGCAATAACCTGCAATTAAAAAAACGTCCATTCAAGCAAATGATTTGATCCCAGCGCACATCACTCGAATGAAACAGAGAATATTAACACTTTCAAATATAGAGTAGTTTTTGAAATTGCACATTCAAAGTTCTTCAGTTTTGCCATATCCAGTTGTGAAAGACAATTAAACAATCACCTGGAGGAAGGGGCTCCACAAATATGCCCACCTTAATGATAGGAGGGCCAGCACATCAGTATAAAAGACTGAAGTATTTGCAATGATATTCAGGCAGAAGCTTTGAATAAATGATCCAGCTTGGGGTACTTCTGAGATCCTCATCATCACAGATGCCGATTCTAAGTCAATTGCATTCATCAGACATTTACACTTTGCAGGTTAAAGACATCTGTAATTGCAAATTCTGGATGTGTATCTCAGGCAGTAACCAACTATATTGATCATAAACCCTGGCTGCAAGAAATCTTGACCATGACATTGATCAATACAAAGTAATCTCTAAAGAGCAGAAGTAATCATATGTGACGTTTAATGAGCGATCTGCAATGTGCAAATCACCAACATATTCCAAGGTCTTATAGGCTGCACAAGGCCTGGATCCACTCTTATTGCACTTAAAACTGTGAGTATTTCACAACATGTAATATCCAGTGCAATGCTGCCTCACTTGTGTCATAGTGGGACGGAGTGAGGTGTAATTGATCCTATCACACTGACATTCTCCTACTGTATGTGCCTGATATGGCTTATACAGCATCTATCTGAATAAGGTCTTCTATTTTAAAGGTTCATGTAGAGAAAGCCCATTGCCCTCTTTATCAGAGGACTTATGTTCCAATGTATGGACGATTATGCTAAACTGTCAGTCAATAAATATGGAGCTGGAAAAGCACGGCAGGTCAGACAGCATCTGAGGAGCAGGTAAGTTAACATTTCGGGCTAAAACCCCTCGCCAGGGCTTTAGCCCGAAACGTTGACTTCCCTGCTCCTCAGATACTGTCTGACCTGCTGTGCTTTTCCAGCTCCACGTTTATTGACTCTAACTTCCAGTATTTGCAGTCCTTATATGTCCAGTATGCTAAACTGTCATTTGTGTGTGCTGTGACTTGATTGATCACATTACTAAGAAGCTGCTTAGCTACTGATACTTGCCACATAGGCTCATTGCAATACAACTAATGAATCCAGGCCTAGTTGCTGTGTTGCCTCTGTGACCACTGTGCAATAAATAGCCACAGAAATTGATGGGGAACGTATGTATCTGGAAGCCCAGGAGCAGCCACAAACTCCAGCAGTTGCTGAACAGCCTTCAAACACAGATTTACAGCAAAAGGTCCCCTTAGGATGTGGAGGAAGTGCAGGGTGCTCACAGTGGAAAGTCTTTCCAATATGTGAGTCTCAGTGCCACCATTGAATGAGGGTGTTGCAGGGCAGATCACAGAATTGTGCCGCCTGCTGGAGCATTTGTCGGGAAGTGTGCTTTAGACCGTAAACTGGTAGCAATGAGAACATAATATCATGACTCCAGTCACTTCATGATGAGGAAAGGGTAACATTCAGTCAAAGACTGACTCATCTGTAGTTATTGCGATCACATCTTTGAAATCTGTACTAAATAACTTTGAAGTTTCCTGCTTCATTCCAGAGGCTGCATTCCTTAAAGGATGGCCTCTCCAAATGTGACTGACGAGGCTGAGGTCTTGCAATATGTTTCAAAATTAAAAATAAAAATAAATTTCTTGCCTGTGTCTTCCTTTTCTTCTAGTCCCTTTATCATTTCATATTTTAATAACAGCATGGATTGAAAAATAATCTTTGGCCCTTCTTTAAAGAGAATACTTTCAAAGCCATTAATCTGTTCAATCATTCTCAATCTTTGGTATCCTTATCCCTAGAAAAACCTTTATTCTCTTCCATCCTTATTGTTCCCCTTGGCTGTCACCCATCTTTTATCTTTCCAGTCCAAGGAGTGTGGATTTGAGGTTCTCTGATCATGACCTGTTCAGCTGTTCATCATGAAATATGGCTGGATGACATGAAGTGCTGATGACTTCACTGTCCTTTAATTAACTGTACCACCCTGTCCCTCGACCACTGTTGGAGTATAGTCCTAGAAGGCCAGTCAAAGCCAACAACTTACGTTTTTCTAACTACTTTAATATGATTTAATGAGCCAAGGAAGTTTGCAAGAGCTTTATCAAACAAATTTTGACACCAGATTACATGCAGAGATCTCACATGACCAAATGCTTGTAAAAGAAGAGAGTTAGGGTGGAGAAGTGATCTGCCAGATTTAATTGAGTTCTTTAGCGAGGTGACATGAGTAGTGGATGAGGGTATATTGAACTTTCAGGAAGCATTTGATATGGTGCCATATGGCAGGTTCATTATTAAATTAGAAATGTTTGGGTACTTGGCAGCATGGATTAGAAGTTGGCTGAAAGATTGGAGGCGAATTGAAAGTGGATCCAGGGATCGGTGTTGGGATCTTTCTCTGTTCTAGTTTATATAAATGATTTAGAGATGGGTGTTAAGGGCAAAATCCCTAAATTTGCAGATGATACTAAGCTGGGAGAATAGTGAATTGTGAAGATGATGCTGAGTGACTTCAGAGGAAATTGATAAATTTCCAAAATGGGCAGACACCTGGCAAATGAATTTCAATGCAGAGAAATGTGAGGTAATGCACTTTGGTAGAAGAAACACAGATAATACAGGCTCAATGGTACAACTTTGAGGGGAGTACAAGAACAGAGGGACCTCGGGGTTCATGAGCATGATTTTCTGAAGGTGGTTGTGCAAGTTGAAATAGATGTTAAGAAGGCTTATAGGATTCTTGGATTTATAAATGAAGACGTACAATATAAAAGCAAGTAAGTAATTGTATACCTCTACAAATCATTGGTCAAACCACATTTGGAGTATTATGTTCAGTTCTGGGCACCTTATTTAAGGAAGGATGTTAAAGCCCTGGAGAAAGTTGAAAGGAGATTTACTAGAATGATACCAGGAATGAGGAATTTTGGAGGGAAGGAAAGATTAGAGAAATTGGATTTATTCTTGGAGCAGAGAAGATTAATAGGTGACCTTATAGAGGTGTTCAAAATTATGAACAATTTTGACAGGGTAAAGAAGCATATTCTGTTTCCAATAATAGGTATGTCAGTAACTAGAGGTCACAATTTCAAGACTGCCAGCAAAAGAGCGAGGTGTGAGATGAGGAGAAACTTCTTTACTCAGAGAGTTGTAAGGATTTGGAATGCGTTGCCTTGGAGAGTGGTGGAGATGGGTTCTGTAGGAGGTTTCAAAACAGAGCTGGATATACAATTGAAAATGATGAATTTAGAGGGCTACAGAGATAAGGCTGGGGAATGGGACTAGCTGGGTAGCTGTCTTGGGGGCCGATATAGACATGATGATTGAATGGCCTCCTTCTGTACTGTAACTTGTATGATTCTAGGTTTAGAAGGGAATTGCAGAGCCAAGGCAGTTGAAAGCAGAATGAATAGTGTTGGAATAAATAACATAGAGGATTTGCAAGAGGCCAGATTTGGAGATGTATAGGAATCTTGGAGAGTTGTAGGGCTAGGGGAGCTAACAAAAATAGGGAGGTACAATGCTATGGAGGGATTACAAAGCATTATTGGGAATTTTAAAATTGGAGACATTTCAAGACTTGGAACTAGTATAGGTTAGTGAGCCCAGGAATGATTTGTGAATAGAACATTGTTCAATTTATGATATAGGCAACAGAAGTTTGGATAAGGTCATGGATATGGTGGAAGGTATGAGGCTGGCCATTAAGTAATCACTGAATATCTTCCTCAACCAAACTGCTTAAACTCTTCTCCACCTCTCCTCCCTCAGCTGAAGAAGTGCAGGGAGTATGAAGAGGGTTCTGAGGGGCAGAGAACACAATCAGGGTCTTGAGGGACAGGGAATGCAAGCAGAGACTGGAGGGCTAGGGAATGTAAGCCTGGCCTGGAGGGAGAGGGAATGTGAGGCATGTCTGGAACAAGCAAGGTGAGCGAGCAGGTTCTGTAGGGGCAGGAAGTGTGAGTAGGGTCTGGAGTGACAGGGCTCTTGAGGAGGGATTTGGAGGATCTAGGAGCATGAGCAGAGTCTGGAAGGGTAGGGAGCATGAGGAAGGTCTTGGAGGGATAGTGAGTGCAAAGAGGGGCAGTTATAGAGTCACAGCGATCTACAGCATAGTAAAAGGCTTTTCGGCCCATTATCTCCATGCCAATCCAAAGCAACCACTAACTATTCTAATACAATTTTCAAGCACTTGCCCCTTGTATGTCTTGGCAGCGCAAGTGTACATCCAAATACTTCTTAAATATTATGACAGTTTTTGCGTCTACCATCTTTGCAGGCAGTGAGCTCCAGATTCCCATCACCAAAAAGATTTTCTCACATCTCTTTGAAACCTCCTGCCCCTTACCATAAACCTATGTCCCCTGGTCATAGAATCATAGAATCCCTACAGCGTGGAAGCAGGCCATTCAGCCCATTGAGTCTGCACTGACCCTCTAAACATCACCCCTTCCCCCCAACCCGCCAGACCCACCTCCCCAATCCTATCCCTGTAACCCTGTATTTCCCATGGCCAGTCCATCTCGTCTGCACATCCCTGAGCACTATGAGCAAGGTCAATCCATCTAACCTGCACATCTTTGGACTGTGGGAGGAAACTGGAGCACCCGGAGGATTCCTTTATTCCTTTATCAAGGGGAAATGTTCCGTCATGTC